AAAAGCGAAAACAAAGTAAACAACACTGAACAGAAAACTCAAGACCCTAAACAGTTATTTAATCTAAAAACATTAGCAAATAGATCAGTACAACTATTTAGTGGTTAAGCAAATTATGAACAACAATATTAAAACCCAAACAAGGGATCAAAAACCAAATTAAAAAGAAATTATGACTTTCACTTGCAAAGACAATTAATTAATCAACTATAGGCCTGACTCTCTAAAAAAGGTCCCCAGCAGAGTCGCCAAGCTGTCGAAACGATTTTTAAGTGTAAGCGAGATTTTGGAAAACCGCGTCAATTTTAATTATTCTCTTTACGATTGATTTTTAATTAAAAACAATGCGATTTAAAAAACCTCTCGTTTCGAAAAATTTGGGATTTCTTTTACAATAAAAACGGTTCGAGGAGTCACCACCAATCTTTGATTAGGGTGTGATTGGACACCCAAAAATGTTTTGCCATTTTAAATAAAAAATTAATTTTAATTAAAATAACAAATTTAGGTATGCGTTACCAAAATTCAAGTTCGAGAGTCGGTTACGTGTGGGGAAGGATTATCACCCCCACAACGCCCTAAATCGGTACCTAGTCGATTAATTAGTGTCTTTGCAATGAAATTTACAAGTTCGATTTTAATTTGATTTATGATCCCCAACAAAACAATAACATACAAATTTTACCATACTTAAAAGCACAAAAATTGATTAAGTTAAAATTACCCAACCATTAGAAAGATAAAGGATATTTGATTATTTATAAAATATCGAGACCATATCTTAAATAGTTATAACAACCTTTTCTCGATAAATTTAAATAGCCGAACATTTCTTTATCTTCCATTCCCAAATTTTAAAGTAATAAATCAATTTCTTAGGTGTCATTGATGGGATACACTGTTAATTTAAAAGCGTTAGAAGCGGACCTCTAATAGTTAAGACAACCCACTTAAACGAATTTAAATTAAAAGGGTATTACCCTTAGTCAAATTATGTAATAATGTCGAGTTATGTTCATGAGGATAACATGCATATTATGCAAAAGGATGTCATGCAAAGATCAATTAAATAAAAGAATATATTGCATATCCTAAAATAAAGTATGGTGATATAGTACATACATGCATACAACGACATTGAAATACATTAGAATTATATAATAAAACATACTATTAATAACTCGATTTCATATTCAAAATTACCATGAAGGACCAAAATAAAATAAAATAAAGATAGACATGCAAAAATGTAAATCTAACAATAAACTAAACGAACATGCCATAGGTCCAAAGTGTAAAGAAAATAAACAACAGGCTTTTTCCATAAAAATTTCATTTCTAGGCACCTCAAACCTAGTATAACCCAAGTGCTACATAGGACCAAAATGCAAGTTCCCAAAATTACATATCAAATATAAAAACAGTAAGAAAATAGCCCCAACACAACACCGGACTGAAATGAAACACGGAGAAAATTAAGAGACAACATTAATATAACAGTAAAGCTCGATTTAGGGATCAAGACGATACGGTTCAAAGCTGCGAGGACCTATATAGCTATTACCCCAACTTCTAAAATGCGGTTCATATCCCCCAAGACAACAACACGCTGCTGTTTTGACCCTCTGGAACGACGCCGTTTTGGCATATATGAATATATGGGATACTAGGGTAAATTTTCTAACCCTAATTCATTCTTCCTCTCAACCTAAACCAGGTAAACTCTCCTCTGCCATTTTCCTTATCTCCCCTTTCTCTCTCACCCTTCCCATTTGCAACAGAACCCCCAAGCCTCCATTGCTCCCGTCGCCGATTTGCTCTCATAACCCGACCATGGCAGCCACCGCGGCTGCTGCCTCTCTTATTTCAACTCACCCCAAAACCAACGACCTAAACACCAAACAGAAAACCCACTGCTAACCTAGACGAATAAACCGTTTAACAACCACATCACCACCGTCTACAGCCTCCGGCGAAGGGCCGAACCCTTACCAGACTCACGACCCCAAAAACCTAAGATCTAGCACGAGACTCAACCCCTCGAAACCCACACAGAAATAGCAGAGGAAACGGTGGCTTACCCACAGTAACCCAACGGGGCTCGGGTTTCAAACGGCCGCGACGGTTCTTTTCTTCAACTCCGGAAGATAAGGGTTTTTAGCCTAGTCCCTCTTCTCTCCATTTTTATTGCTGTGTGTGCTCTTTAGAAAACAGGGATACTCCCTACTTGCTCTCGGTTTGACTCTAATTTTAGGTACTCGACTTTTCTTTTCCTTTTTTTTTGTTTTGCTGCTTTTTTCTCTGATTACCCGTTCTCGTTCATGGGCGTTAGATCTCTCCCTCATTTTCATTTTTTTCGTCTTCTGATAACTAGTAATCGTTTTGTCATCACCCCATGATCCATGTGTTCTGTGCTCCTCGTTAATTGCTTGGTCTTGAATTGTGTGGTCGTTGTTTTTGATGCTGCAGAGCATGGGTGGCAGATCCATGTCTCGGTCTTCATGGGCGTGGTCTGCTGTCGAGGAGCAGGGTGCATGAGCTGTTGCTCGTGGGAACGGTGAAGCATGAGTTGCTGCTCCGTTGGGAACGGTGAAGCACATGTAACAAAAGAGGTGTCTTCACGTGGGCTGTTGGTGGAGGCATGGAAGAAGCTTGGGGAATAGCACATCATGGGCGTCGGGTATGCTGAACAGGGTCGGGTCTTGTAATCTGGATCCGAGTTGTAACCGGGTTGGGCTTGTAATTAAATTGATTTGTAATTGGGATTTAGGCATTTAATCTGGATTTGAATTTGAATTTGATCTTTAATTTATATCTTGAATTCCAAAGTGAAACGAACATGGTTACGATCCAATTAAGCACCTAAAATTTCCAAATGCAAGCTTCCACGATTTACCACTTGAATTAGTTCGTTATTGAGCACAAAATCTCCAAATAAATTTCCGATCATCTTCAAATGAATTCAAATGGCCCGGACAAAATTAGGGTATTACAGTTATTAAAGGAACGATATCTTTCGTACTATCAAAAAATCGACAGCTACGGTATTTAGCAATATATACATACAACAATCCAGCTTTAGTGAGTTAGGGAGCCATTGCACACACATTATTTTGAGAAAAATATTAAATTAAATTTAATTTATTAATGGAAAAAAAAAGAAATTTACATACCCAAAATGTTTTTAAAATAGAGTATTAAAATTTTGGATCTCAATTTTTAATTTCTAAATCCGTCACCGATCTCTCCAAAGGCAAGAATTTCATAGGGAGGATTTATTCTAGCCAAGACTAGGATTTTGGAGCAGTGAAAATCTGCAGTCCTTAATCGCATAATCTACCCACATTAGTAAAGGATGGAGTGAATAAATATCAAATCTCATGATTATAGAGATAAATAGCGACAATTATTGTAATACATATTATGATTATGGAGATAAATAATGATTATATAATAAAAATTAATATATAAAGTTAATGAATAAAAATAAATTTGATAGGTTTCAATTTGATATAATTTTATAGGTTAATAGTTTTTAGCAAAAAATAAGTTCAAGCGCAAATGTAATTTGCTCTTTCAATCTGATTTTGTGGAGAACGAGGACTTCCTCGTGCAGTGTTTCAGACTTCGAAATGAGATAATGGTATGCGGAGAGGGCAATAATCAAAGTAATGGTCTCGTTCAATCCGTTGGTGGTTGGTCTCGACCGATGATGGGTTGGGTTAAGCGAATACCGATGGAACCGTCGGTGGAGCATCAAGGATGGCATCGGCTGGGGCGATTTTGCACGATGATCAAGGGAGATGGATCATGGGATTTGGCCGCAGCTTAGTTGTGTGCTCAGTTCTTGCAGCAGAATTATGGACGATTCATGATGCCTTGGTACTTGCATGGAACCTCGGGTTTCGGAAAGTTGAACTTGAAACCGACTGCGCTCAAGCTATGGAGGTTATTCATAACAACATACAGGAGAATGGGAATTGGGCGGTTGTTAGCATGATTCGGACGTTGTTGCAGGGGAGTTGGGAGACTAGATTAAGCTAGATAAAGCGTGAAGCAAACTACGCTGCAGACATAATGGCATCTACAGCTAGGAGGCAAACGATCGGGTCTGTAATTTTTCATGAACCACCGTGGGAGGTAGCGTTGCTGCTGGAGGAAGAAATGGCGTCGGTTTCATAACCTGCGCTTTCTGCTTTTGCTGTATTACCAATAATAATAATAATAAGTTCAAGGTAAATCTTATATAGAAAAAATAGACGAATAAAAATTGAATAAACACCTTTATTTTTCAAATAAGATTAAAACAGTAAAAGAAAAGGGTGAAGTACACAAATGGTCCTCCGATTATAGGATACTACTTTATTAAATCTTTCGATTATTAAAAGTTACAAAATGATTCTTTGACTATAGAGTGTAACTATGTTAAATCCCTCGACTATTTAAAGTTACAAAATCATCACTCGACTATTTATTATAAACTTGTCCTTTTCTATTAAATAATTAGTGGTTGTCTAAGTTGGATATGAACATGATGATTGAGATATGATAGCCGTTTGAGATTCTAAAATTTATCATATCACAGTTAACATGTTAACGTTTAGGTCAGAATACTATCAATTTTTTTTTAAAAAAAGGACAAATTTGAAATATAATAAATAATCGGGTGACCATTTTTATTTTTTAATAGCTAAAGAACTCAACAAAGCAATACTCTACGGTCAAAGGTTCATTTTATAACTTTTAAAGTTAAGAGACTTAATAAAATAATACTCTATAATTAGGAACAACTTGTGTACTTTACCCAAAAAAAAAAAAAAAGGAAGTTGGTCAAATATTTTCGTGAAGTCAAATATTAATGACTCAATGTTACAAGTAAGCAACAAACAGTTTCGAGGAACACATTCGATGAACCCACCGCAAGTAGAAAGCAAGTAAACAACAAGGAATACGCAGGCCTTGATCTCATTAGTTGTCAATCTCCCATGACTTGTCACTCTTCTCTTCCCTAAAATGTTAGACCCTCGAGAATTCTTCAAGTTTTAACCTTTTTTAATGTTCTGTTCCATTCCCGCTAGCAAATATAGTGAGGTCCCACCCGAACTCCACCGCCTCATGTCACCGGCAGCAACCACCGAACCATGATCAGCCTCTACATCACCCAACCCTCTTCCTGTTCTTCATTTTCTTTCAAGCCTCCTCTCACGCCCTCTTTGATTTCAAAGCTAAAACCCTTTCGTCTCCTTTCAAAACCCCAGAAAAAGGTAACATTTTTACTTGATTTCTCTTTTCTTTTGTTTTTTTTTTTTCATTTTCATTTTCATTTTTTAATATGTTTTGGATGCTGGGTGTGGATTGCTACAGATTAAGAGAGGAATATGCAGGGCGGAGTTTTCGCCTGACGCACCCCTCGCCGCCGCTATCGGCGCGTGTATGCTGGGTTCTCTTCTGCTTCCCGTCGCCGATACTAGGGATGAAGATGGTGGCGGTTCGGCTATCGAAGAAGGGGATACGAGGACTGCGGTTATGGGGATTATCAGCTTTATCCCTTACTTCAATTGGCTGGTTAGAAACTGAAATTTTTCATTTTCTTTTGGAAAAAAATATTTGGAGGCTATGGGCACTGTGGAGCTTCCTTGTTAAATTTCAAAGTGTTTTAATTTTTATTTTCACATTTTTCTTGGTTTTTGATTTGATAGAGCTGGGTTTTTGCTTGGCTTGATACGGGGAAGCGTCGATATGCCGTGTATTCAATTGTGTACTTGGCTCCTTACCTCAGGTATGCCAATTAAGCTATCCAGTTGCCATGAATATCTGATGTAATGCAAACTTCATTGTCTTCATAGTTTCATTTGGACAAATTTAAGAGGTGTTACCGACTTACCGTCTCCTTTAGGATCGATTTTGGGGGTGTGATTTTGAAAATATTGAGCTGGTCAGTGTTAGCTCAAGTGTTTTAAGTTTGGATTTGGGAATCTTCCCTCATCTCCGTACAGGTGTGAGAGATGGTAAGATTATTTCTTACTCCCTTATCCCGGATGGTGTCCCTCTTTTCGTGAACGTATCCAGGTGATTACATATGATTGTTTTAGTAACATTTTTTGGGTAAAGTTTAGTCTTATTGATGTTTCAAATCTAATTGTGATTATATTTCCTCTATCTTTTCACTATCTTAAAAGATAATGAACTAGAATGCCAGAAATCAGTTAGCTTGTTAAGCTTCTTTACTTGGAAAGGAAATCAGACTAGAGATAACTGCCCATTAGCATCATGGCATAAGTAAAAGGGAACAAAGAGGCAACCCCCTCTATCTTCTGCATATCGTGCTTATCCAACATGGCATGAATCAACAAATCTGCACTCAGGAATAGTAATGCTTTGTAAAAATGCAGGATTCATTAAGTGAAAGATGCTAATCTTGTAGTTACAAATGCCGGAAGCAAAGATAATATATGCTAATTGACTGCAAGTGAATAAGTTTTGCGTTGGTTATTCTATCTGTTGAAGTTTTTAGATTCAAATATGGCCATAAAGAATCAGCTGTTTTTCTTTTCATCATAAGTTATAACCTTTTCCGAGCTTCAATGTGGTAAGTTTCATTGCTTAATTTGATAAACCTTATGTGTTTATTTCGGTACTTGCTTTTCTCCTTTAAGAACCCATTTTTCTGATATTCATAAATGCAACCTCTTCTATAATGTATTTTCTCCCTTTGCACCGTTTCTCTATCTCACCCAGTTACACTCCTAACTCCTGATGATGTAGTTGTGATTGACTGAAAACGAGAAGTAATAATAATGTTGTATTTGTGGGCAATTGCATAAAATTGAGACTTCGGGTACTTCCGTGCTTTCCTTGCTTTGATGGACTAACAGCTACATTTTCTTGAACTTACGATATTTTCGGTTAAAATGGAAGTTGACAGGGAGTGTGGGGTTAATCGAGCATTTTCCTGTCAGGTCAAGTTTATCACTTTCCCCAGAAGATAGCTGGCTTCCCATTGCTAGCATAATATTTTGCATTGTTCATGTCCAGGTACAAAATCTATCAAGATCATCACATAGTTATATCGGTAAATATGTCATGATACCTCATATATTCACATCGATGCTAATGTTTCTTTATTTATCAATGATTTATGGACCCCTGAACTAGTATGGATCCGCTGCAGCATCACTGTTCTAGTTTTGGGTTGATTGGTCCTATCTTAAGATGCAACTTTTGAGCATAAACGCATAGCATTTTGCCATGCTTGTTGTCGCAGCTGGAAGCAAGTCTAAAAAACGGTGATATTCAAGGATTTCAGATATTTAACCAGGCTGCTAAGCGTCTTTCATCAAGGAGTAGAGTGGAAGATTCACATTTCGATGGACATCAAGAACCCGAGGTATCAGGGTCTTGAAAGTTGAAACCATTGAGAATATTTTTATCCTGTTCGAGTATGGGTTTTATATGATAGAAGCTATGATATTCTATTTCAGATGAGAAAAAGAGAACATAGGAATCTTCCTGATGCTGAAGAACAAGCAAGAAATGAGATCAAGAAGTGGGGAATCCCTAGGAATACTGGTGAACAACATGAACGGTTGAATGGAAATTGGGAGATGATGATGATGATGGAAGTGAATATTAGAAAAATGATCCATAAATGAGCTTCCTTGACTGTAATATCCTCGGGTGTTTTTGCTGTTGATGGAATCTTTGTTGTAAACTCATGTCAAACATGATGTTTGGATTACCAAAATCTATACTCTAAATTTGGATATGGTTGTTAGAATTGGATCGGTAAAATGGTTTGAAAATCGAAATCGGTAATTCAATTGGTTGAATAAATCGTTTAAAATCGAAACCAGCAAGTAAAAAACTGGGGTAAATCAATTAGAATGTTATTTCTTTCTCCAAAATTTGCATGTTGTGGCAATTTAAATATGTATTGAGTTTCAAAATGCTGTTAGTTCATAGGGGGTGGTGAAAATTGGGAGTTCAAGAAGTTATGTGGGCAATTAGAAGAGGAGGGTTTAACCAGAAGCTTTTCAACCTGCCCAAAACCCTAGTGTGCCCTGTCATCCCTGCCTCCAATCTCATTAGGGTTCCGCTCCCCGCTTGTACTACTGGCTCAGCCAACAACGTGCCTTCCAAGCGCGTCGGCACACACAGCGGCAGCTTTCACTGCGACGAGGCTCTTGCCTGATTCATCATTCGCCTCACTGCTAAGTTCTACAACTCCGAGATCGTCCGTACAAGAGAACCCAATGTCAGTTCCCCCCTCTATTTATATCTTTTCACTGTTTGATTGCCGGAAAATTGTAGCGAAGTAAGAACATATGCAATTTATATACTGGATTCTCTTTTGGGACTCAAAATATAATTATTTATTTGCTTTTGCTTTTTATATACTTATTTTCATTACTAGTTTTGATGCATATTTCGACTATAAGTTCTAAAACTTTGAAATGTAGATTCAAACAGGGAGGAGATAGAATGGATGGTTTGTTATGTGATTCTTGTAGTTTTTTTGTTCTCAGATTAGCCTGTTTGCGTGGGTTTAAAAAAGAATCAAATGAGCAAGTCGGACCAGTTGAACCGGCAGTCTGGTCTGGCTTTTAATCCATGCCTCTATTATAAGATTGATCTATGTTTTGCAGGTACTGGAGGGGCTTGATGCTGTTCTTGATGTTGGAGGCATATACGATCCTAGTCGTGATCGGTACGATCATCACCAGAAAGGATTTGAGGAGGTTTTCGGTCATGGATTCGGTACAAAGCTTAGCAGTGCCGGGCTTGTTTATAAGGTATTCTTCGTTTCCATTAGGCAATTGAAGTTCCATTCTCATTGCTATCTTCTTGTTGGCATTGTTGTCATTTTATTCTCATCCTATTTTGGTAGAGTTTAATATGAGCGTTGATGTTTTTCGGTTGTTTATGCCGTTCTCTCAATTATCAGTGGAATGTTCCTTGTATTTAGCATTTCGGGAAAGAGATAATAGCTAAAGAGCTTCGACTCGGTGAAGACCACCCGGATGTGCATAGATTGTTTCTGGCCATTTACAAAAACTTCATGTAGGTAAGTTCATCTTTGATGCTTAAGTTTTAAAGGGCTTGAATTCCTTGGATTCTGGCTGCTTTCTTTAGGACATTAGGATCATATGGTTAAACAAAACTAGCCTTTGGAGTTATTTCAACCACCCGGAACTGGTTCGAAAGAGCTTTTACAGACTATAAATTCTTAGCTTTCTTCTTTTTGTTCAGCTGTACTCTTCCTCTTCTTTTCACAGCATTTATAAATTTAGATGTTTATGCGGGATACTATTTTCTTGCTTTTCCACCAGGCAATCGATGTGATTGACAATGGAAGCAACCAGTTCGATACCGAAGCCTCCAAGATATGTGAACAATACTGACTTATCCTCTAGGTTGGAAGATTAAACTTAGACTGGATGGATCCCGATCGGTCGCCCGAGAAAGAGAACGAGGCTTCCAGTGAGCAATGACACTAGCTGGTAATGAGTTCTTAGAGGTAAGGTTCTATAGAAACAAAAACATGGCTAATTATACGTGATAGTCTTCACTGCTAGAGCCCCGGATACGGATTTTTGTTTCTCTTCTGAAGGAATAAATTTATTTACTGTGTTCTTCGTATTTTGCTAGTTTGATGACCTTCTTTGATTTACAGAGAGTCCGGTTTCATGCAAAATTATGGTTACCAGGAAGGTCGATTGTGATGGAGTGCATTGCAGAGAGATATGATGCAGACCCTGGCGGCGAAATTATGGTTTTGAAAAGGTTTGCTCCGGTGAGTAGACGATTCCAATATTTTTCTTTCTTTCTTCCTTCCACTAATCCTGCACAAGAACACGGTACCTCAGGTTAACGAGTTGCTCGTATACAAATATAATCTGGTGTTGCTCCGGATCTTCATTTTTCTTGAAGCATCCACATATTAAACAGATGAAAATCTTGGAAAAGTATATGAACATGCCCCATATCAAACTCATCCCGATTCCGACACTCGGACCATTTTGATCCTTCAGTTGGTTCGAGTTTTTCTAGAATAAGCTGCAGTGAAATTTTCAGTAGGATCAGTGATTGCGGCTTATACACCCTTTACTTACAGCTGAATATGATTTCGGCTTCCATCCGACAGTGGAAGCTTCACGTATTCTAGCTCGAGGAGGAGATGAAGGTTGAGCCTCCCATTATGTTCTTTATGAGGTATATATTTAGATCTACGGTTGCTTCGACTCTTCATTTTCTTTGAAAGAACTCATCCTATTCGATGCTCATGTCGGACACATATTCAAACACAGTCCGTCTTCCCTTCCATGAATGAATACACAATGTCTGTGCAGGACAATAGGGGCAAACGATGGCGAGTACAGGCAGTAGCAGTATCTCCTGATAGATTCGATAGCCGAAAGCCCCTCCCAGCTCGATGGCGAGGTCTGACGGACAATGAACTCTCGAAGGAGGCCGGAATCCCGGGCTGTATCTTCGTCCACAGTAGCGGTTTTACGGGTGGAAATCATACATATGAGGGTGCTCTAGCAATGACAAGAACTGCTCTGAAGATATAAATAAGATCTTTGGGAGATAGATTTTAGATTTCAGTATCTGTGTTTCACTAATTAGTTTTAAAACATTTATTATCGAATTGAATTTAAGTAAATTGGAACTTATGATAATTTCATTCTCACAAATTTATAAGCCAGCAAATATTTTTTTTGAATTTGAATTAAATTTATATTATTTTGATCAAATATTTTATTATCAAATTTACATTATGAATTAGATAATTAAATAGTATATTTAAAAAACAATATTCAAGACATCATAAATATAACATTAATATAAATACATTAAACACTAAATAATTATTTTATTGACAAAATCGTTTTAAATATATGCATTACTATTTAATATTAAACTAAGATGAAATCAAAATATTTGATTAAATTACATTCTAAATAATTAGTTATTTATTTGAAAAATATGCAACAAATAGATATAATAATATAGTGTATTTAAATTTATCTCGAAAAACGTATTAGTACTTAAAGAATTTTTCATTAAAAATAGATTCTTGACGTATTTTTCGTTACCATTTTAGGTGCCCGGACGTTAAATGTCATTAAAAATCCTTGTTAAGTGACAAGTGTCATGCTCTGGTATTTTTAATTTTTAAAAATATATATTTGAAAAAACAGTGCCGCCTACCCCGAGTTTCCCTCTCCCTCTCCCTTGCCATGGCCGACTGCCACGTCCAAAGATCGACTATCACGGCCGACCAAACAGCAAACAACCGACCACCACATTCGATCAAACAACCGATTATCACGATTGATCTAAAGGATTTTTATAGATTTGAAACCCTAAAACAAAAACGTTGGGTGTCTGATTGATTGACAGCGTTAGTGGCAACCGAAGGTGACAAAAAGATTAAAATTAAAGTTTTAAAAGTTTGAGGTTTTTTAAAGATTTAAAGATTTTAGGTTTTTTAAAAAATAAAAAATTACATATATATATATTATTTTTAATAAAATTTCCAAAATTATCAGAACGTAACACGTGTCACTTAACAATCAAATTTAATGACAGTTGACGTCTGAGCACCTAAAAGTGTAACGAAGAAAAACGTTAGACATATATTTTTAGCGAAAAATTCTTTAGGCACTAAAACAGTTTTCGAGGCATAATTTAAACACTTATTTTTGTATAAACATTTTCTTTTCTCGCCTAGTGAGAATAAAAGCAAACCATATTAGGGCTGAAAATGAGACGAAACAGATCGTAAGTTACTTGAGATCAGCTCGGTCAAAACTCAATAAATACTCGAATCAAATGGACTCCACTTAAGCTCGAGTTCTTGACGAGCCGAAACAAGTTACTTGATACTCGATTCGAAAAAACTCGTTAGAGCAACTCAAAAATATAATATATTAATATTTTATTTCTTTTAAAAGTAAATTATCAATAATATTAATATTTATGTGTTGATTTTTTTAAATGCAATATAAGGTTTTCATGTAGGTTTAGGTTCGAGTTTGAGGCCTCAATCGAGTTAAGTTTAAGATTTTTTTCATTTCGAGCTTCAGTTCGTAATTTCGAGTTTGAGTCGAGCTTAAAAATTTTAGACCCGCGAGTTTTCGAATCAAGTCGAACTCCATTTCAGAGTTTTCATGTTATGTCGAGCTCAACAATACTCAAACTCGACTTGACTCATTTACAGCACTAAACCAAACATAAAAATAAGGTTATGAAAATGGATTATTATCTTTATTAATGATTTTTTTCAGTCAATTAAATGCATCCTTCGTTGAATCAATTATTCTTTAGGATTCGAACCTTTTTTTATTTTAGATAATTAAACTAAATTCCATGGATAGGAAACAAAGGCGCATCTAGTGTAGTGGTATCATAGTACCCTCCCACGGTACTGACCGGGGTTCGATTCCCCGGATGCGCATTAGTTTTTCAGATTTTTTTTAATCCTTTTCATGAGTATTTTTATAAAATAAAATTTTCTGTTTGAAATATGTCCTTACAAGTCCAATGAATTGGGCATCTTGAGTTGGTCCGGACATCTTAATGTAAACTTGAATATAAAGCCAATCAAACAAAGGAAAATTATGTCTCAATTACATACATATAAATATTTTTATATTAAAAATTTAAATATTAAAAAACGTTAATTAAGCTTTATATTTATATTATTTGTTGAGTAA